AGATTGCTTGGAGGATTTAATCATGAGCTGACATCAGTTAGAGAACCACTGGAAAACCTGGGAGTACTGGACAGCTGTTTCGCCCTAGTTTGGGACTCTTCATCAGCACACACCCACCGGCCAGGGTTCGAACCCAGGACCTTCTGGTTACAAGGCGAGCTCGTAGACCATTGAGCCACTGGGACCCGATCCAATGGTCCTTGAATTCTAACTTCTGCCAGTTCACGACAGAGCGTTCCAAAGAGTCCCAAACTAGGACGAAACAGCTGTCCAGTACTCCCAGGTTTTCCAGTGGTTCTCTAACTGATGTCAGCTCATGATTAAATACTCCATGCAATCAAACAAATCCCTACAAAACCAATACTTGAGAATAGATTGCTGTCAAAATCAGCAGTAATAGACATCTCTACCAATTGTGACATGAGAAAGCAGAGATATAATCGATCTAAGTGATAGTACAGATTTCTCGCGTATCAAGCAGGCTAAGGCGAGCCACTCGATTTACTATCATCGAAATTCAAAAAAGTAATAGCTAAAATGTTCTTTAACCCACTACTGTATGTTGGAAATTCACTAGTCGTTGTATAATTCCAATACAGGTGAAGGATAAGCTACCGAGTATGCCCACTACAATATGCGTTTACAAATTTAATTGTTCTTTTTGAGAGAGATAGTTACATTCGTGGACAGATTGAGAAAGCCCATGATCGCCTTCTTGAGCACTGTCCAAAGTGATAATGTAAACGAGTCGTCAAGTCAATCAGAAGTTCCATATTGTCACACCTTCTGGATGGATACAGAGCACAAGAGTGATAAGGAGAGTCACCCTTTACAGTTCTATGCAAGGCGCCAGCTGAATTCCCTATGTTTGTACTCCTTAGATTGCTAAGCGTATCTAAGGCAGTTGCCATAAAAAATTTGCACCTCAGTCTCTGTGTTCAGACACCGGTTTTTTCAATCCATCTTCCGCCCATGGCCTTCAACCCAAACCTAGGATGATCATCTCCTAAGGTAACACTGGATAACCGTAAATATTATTTTTGTTTGTAATGCTGACTTTGTTATCAATATCATTCTGCGCAATACTTGCATATTTTAATTCTAGTTTCACGACTTATTGAATTGCTGTGACAGTTGTTTCCCCCTTTACCCGATTGGTATACACATTCTACTTGGTCACATGATTTTAATTGGACACTAACTAGTGTCATGTGCCTAGTCCTTTTGTTTACTGCAGACTGAATCCTATCAGTCAAGTTCGCAATGTGGCCACCGTTCTAGGTGACTCTCCATCAAGGTACACTGTGAATTGTCGATATCAGAAGGGACATGACTTCCTTCGAGATTGCAGATACGCCCTGATGACGAGTGACAAAAGGCACGAAACCTAGATTGAAGGCTTCCTGCCAATTGCTTTCAACCATCTGATTACATTTTTATTTATCTCCCCTGACCTTTCTTTATCATCTAATATCTTGTTGACTTCTAAGAAAGTGTTTCCTACTAACCTTCTACATGAAGAAGTTAAGACAATCAGGTATCACTCCATATCTTCACTTTTACAGTTTGTTAACTCTTCTATCTTACTTACTTTTCTTTATTACTCTATTATGTGTCACAATACATTCAGTTTAATAGGATGGTGATATCGATGCGGAAGAAGTTAGACGCGCTGATTGCGAATACTATTTGACGACGCCAACAAAATTATACGTTAGCCACATGTTTCCCCAGTTCAACTACTTAATCCAGAACACACAACGACGTGAGATGGAAGATATATTTAACAATATCCGTATAAGAAGTCGGTATACCGAAAGAAACAATGATATATATATATATATATATATATATTATTATTAACATTAATATATCCAATGGTGCATGCGTGAGAGTTGACCATAAATGGTCATATACCTGACCAAGTACATAGGCGTGAGTGAAAATATCCAGACTAACCTTGATCCAATATCATCACAAACATGTGACATGTCTGATTACATATCATGCTCTCACTTAGTGTCACCTGAGCTACTCAAAAAAGGACTGTCATATTTCATAGGGTTATAAAAGCTGTCAGTAGGGCAAGTGGGTATACCACTAAGTCAACTCGTTACTATTGTAGTCAACACACACCTGGACTCATGCGTGTAGTGGGCTAAATCTATATTGTCTGACTCGTAACACCCTCTCTATACTCAACTCTCCCCGCCTTGCATCTCATCAGGTAGGACTAGAAGTCATTATTATTTATAGATTATATGCTCGCACAACTGCACGCAAAAAATCAACGATAGTCTATTCGGCACACCATTCTTTATGACAAATAAAGTATTGCACGTGAAAATTATAATATACTATGTAATTAGTAAAATAAATGATCATTTGAGCTTCTTATATTTGAAATTTACAGTGACACTATTTCAGTCATCTTAAAATTTTAGCTATTTATATTTCTTAGGTAATATCAGTAAAAAGTTTGAGCATTGTGGATTAGATCAAATAAAGTATAATTATATTTCTTAGTACTATTATTTTATACTTTTAGCACATTTTCGACTTGATTGTCACCGCTGATGCCACACAAAGTTGCTATTATCAATTTTGATCACCTGCACCGTGCAATGCTGTCTTTTGTTGCTGAGTATATTATTATATATATTATATTACTTATTATCACTAATGATATTCCTAATTGTGGTGGACTGGATTATACGACAGAGAGTGGGAAACGAGAAGAGAGGGTTATCCTGGACCGACGTGAATAACCCAGAAGACCTGGATTTCGCGCATGGATGATTTATGTTTGATGTGACACGCAATCGAAGACTTACAAGCGAAAAACCGACAAACTGGTCAAAGAAGCAGCCGGCGAATACAGGACTCCAGGTGAACATAGACAAAAAGGAGGTTATGAAAATAACCAACCAACAAAAAACAGCAACATCAACCGCCAATCACCATCAACGGGAGGGATGTGAAAGAGGTTACTTCATTCACTTATCATCTAGAGAGCATCGTCTCAACTACACGCAGTCGGAACGGACGAGGATATCAAATCGAGCGAGAATCCGGGGGAAGGCAAGAAACACGTTCATCAACCTGAAACAACCAATCTGGAAATCTTCGTCACTCAGCCAGAATCAACAACAAAATTCAGTCGTGTTAATATATGTGTAAACATTCAAACAGATATTTGGATTTCCGATCATCCCATCCTATGTCAGTAAAAAAAGGATTAGTGAAATGTTTAAATGACAGAGCACAAAAACTAAGTAGTACCAAGGAAAATCTAAGACAGGAAGTGATACACATAAAAGAAGCCTTGAAACTTAATAATTACCCGGATAAATTAGTCAAGAAATATGTAAGTAAATGTAAAAATAAAATTAATAATGATAATAGCGATAGTGATAATAATAATAACGATAACAATAATAGTAATAATGCTAATAATAATAGCGATAATAATAATATTAATAACGACACCAACAATAAGGAATCTAAATCATCAACAATAATTCCATACAAGAAGGAACCTCGGAAGCCTTACGCAGAATTCTTAACAAAGCAGGAATAAAAGTGGCATTCAAACCCACAAACTCAATTAGAAACAAGCTTTGTCGGTTAAAGGATCCTGTAGAACCATTAAAACAAAACAATTTAGTTTATCTAATACCCTGCAATGATTGTGAGGTTAAATACATAGGTCAAACTAGTAGAACAGGGGCAGTCAGACTAGCCGAACATAAAAACCTAGCTAAATCTAGACTGGTTGACCCGAATAAGATAAAAAATCTAGAGAGTAGTTCAGCTATAGCACTACATGCAGTTACACACAACCATACAATAGGATGGATGGGATAGGATGATAGTTTGAAAATCTAATGTCACAGGGTATAGGGAGAGATTGATAACAGAAGCTTTGTTTATCGAATCAACTACAAATACATGTAATAGGAATGATTCAACACCTGTCCCAGATATATGGAAAGTTCTACTGCCCATACAACAAATAGAAGACAGAAAAAACTATAAAAATCAAATCTAGAAGTCGTGTGACAAAAATTGATATGATTATGAACAATAAATTGTGTTCGAAACGTCATCCAGTAAACAATACTGTTTCACTGTGTGATACATTTAATAAACAAACTAATATGGAAAATTCAGTCGGATTTTCAATACAAACGTCAAGTCAGTCAGTTCTTCTATACGGAACGGATCAGAAACTTGACGGCGGGTCACAAAGAGTATTTCCAACAGGCTGTTGCAGACCTTCATCATCAACAACTGTCTTCGCTGGCTCTATACTGAAGACCAGATGGTCGGGCCGTAAAGAACCACCAACAAGAAACTATGGGAACAAACAAACAAAACAAGAACCAATCGCCAACCAACAAATATGCAGGAGGAAGTGGAGATGAATTTGACACTCGCCCGTTGAGGAGGGAGGCCGCCACTGGGTGACATCGCACGCGCGTCAGGCCATTTCTCGAGTGGAACGAGGCCGAAAGGGAAGCCCGCGGTGAGTGAGACATCTGTGCAAGGGTGGGTGACATGGAGGAGATCATGTGAAGAGGAGTTGAAACAGTCACTATGGTCTAAGATGGATTCAGGTGAAAAGTACAGCAGAAGGAAGACAGAAGCAACTGGAGACGTGCAGCTGAAGCCCCATGTTCCACTATGAACCCAAGGGAACAATAATAAAAATAATGAATACTATACAATGAAATATGATAAGAAAGAGTACTGAGTAACCATTTTATTATTCAATAATCAAAGCACTGCAGGAAATAAACATACAACGGTGATAATAACACATCCTCAAAGCATAGCTTGTCATACAAATTAGAGCAATAGTATGTTTTTTTGATATAACGGAATGTGTGTGTGAATTATATTTACAATTACAAATTAATTAAAATGGTCATTTAAAGAGAGAGATTGAATGCAACAAGTAATTGTCCCCCTCCTCCATTTGTTATCCTTCATCATTATCAACTTGGACGTAATGAAGACCATTCAGTCTCAGGTAATATACACCAATTTGAAGAACCAATTGTTAATCGTCTATTAGGACAACTGAAATCCTCAATTTCACGCCATAAATTACTTTCACAATTATCATTGGATAAACCAGCTGTACATAAATCGCTATCAAGTGTATCATATGTATATTGATATGGTGCAACGTGTAAATCTGTAGAATCTTCAATAATCGGACGACTAGATGTATGTAAAGCTAATCGACAGTGTAATGTTTTATGCACTCTTAACTGACGACATGCAAATACAAGATCACAATTTATACAATCATCAAGCCATACAGAACCAGCTATAGGATAACAATAAATTTTACAATTTTTTAATCGTCTACCGATTAAACTACCAAATACACTGCATACTTTAACTGTACAATCTAGTAGATCGGCTAAATAAACAGATTGATTAATAGTTGATATTTCTGACGATGGTGATGATGAAGAAGAATTATCAGGGCGAGGGATAACACAGTGTTGAGAACCAGTAATATGCGTTAAAGTGTAACGTGGATCATACATTGAGGATTCATCAGCGGCAAGAGTACTGAAGGTGGTAGTGGTGGTGGTGTTAGCAGCAGTCTTCGTAGATGTGTCTTGGTCATTGGTAGTTGTTTTCATTTCGTTTTCAGTTTTAGGCATATTTTCTTGTTTGTTAGTTTTTTGTTGACGTGAAAAACCAAATTTTTTACTAGGTAAAAGTTCTTTCTTTTTCTCATGAAAGAGATCGATTAAACCCTAAAATGCGGAAGAAAACAATAAAAAAAAGCGAATGACAAAAAAAATACCCATCAAGACGGCAAACACAAAAGAAAAAACAAGAAGCTCAGTAAAGGTAACTTCTCTGTGATTTCATCCACAAAATAAGCTTACATAGACACAATGTTCTCAAAATAGGTCGTTCTATGCGTGTCCCGTCAAAAAAGTGTTAGATGAACACTATCCAGCAATGCGGAAGCATTGGTTCAATTACAAGTGTCATATGTGAACACCTCGCGTCAATACCTGTCACAACATCACAACTGACTCATCGCTTATAGTTATATACTAAAAGCAGCTGGCTTGCGGAGAAGTTGGAACTACTTCGCCGACGACTAGCCGTGCATACCACAAAAGACCCATTTCATTTCGCCGAAAGTGTGAATCACATGAACGTTTCAAATAAGTTCATGGCTTCATTTGATCCAGCCTCCTTGTTCACAATGATCCCACAATCAATGAAACCATTGAGATCATTTGTCAACAGTCCGATCTTCTCTCACTACCAGAGCCAGAATTCAAACGCCTAATCCTAATGTGTACCATGGGTGTACAATTCCAGTTTGACAACACTCTTTACCGACAAATAGATGGTGTAGCTATGGGTAGTCCACTTAGCCCTATTTTAGCAGATATCTTCATGTCGAACCTTGAGAAAACAAAGCTGAAGTATGCAATTGATCAAACAACTTCGTATTGTCGATATGTCGATGACACATTTGTAGTATGCAACAACGAAAGTCATGCCTCCTACCTACTCAGACTATTCAACAACGCACATACAAATATTGTATTTACTATGGAACATGAAAATGATGGAAATTTCCATTTCCTTGACGTCGCCATAAAACGCCTAGAAGATGGTAGTCTCCAGAGGTCAATCTACCGAAAGCCCACATGGAATGGACAATACTTACATTTTAATAGTTTTTTTTCCAAATAGCTATAAACGAGCACTAGTCAAGACTCTGTACTATATAGTGAGGAGAATATGCTCTGCAGAGAAACTAGAGGAAGAATTTACGATTCTCGAAAAGGCGTTGAAAAACAACGGGGGACATCACTCGTACCAAATTCCCATGAAACTACATGAACTCTCTTACAAATTGCCGCGCCTGGGCAGCGATGATTCGAGACGTTCATGAAGCCGGCTCATCCTCCCGTAGGAGATAGCCGAAGTAAAGTAAAGTAAGTAAAGTTAATCTCAAAGATTCATTATCAAATATGGAAGATGTGAAGCCTCAAATACCAAACAAATCACAGTTGAAAAAAGCCTGTCTTCATTCAACTAGATTTTAAAGGTGAAAACATTGCAGAAACGGTCAACAGAAGACTGAGAACGTCACTAGCCAGAGCCTATCCTGCGGCTAAGTTGGTTCCCGTCCAACGGACAACATGCTCCTTAGTGCAGTCAAAAGTCGATAGATACCCTTCTCATGTTAACTCAAACTGTGTATACAAATTTACGTGTATCTGCGGGAGCAGTTACATTGGGAGAACAGAAAGAAGGGCACACCTCCAATTTTCTGAACATGTGCCGAAAAGCCTACGTCTCAAGGTAACAAACTCTTATAGTAGCGCTATTACCAGACATCTCCTCGACACGGGTCATGAGGAGGAAATCGAGAAATCCTTCAAAATTATTGTTATGTTCTGCTGCTGAGTGAGTTATTAGAGTTTTCCCCGTCGCCAATTATGTTATGTACTCGTCGAGTAGTTAATAGTTCTGAAGCGGAAAGAGGGAAATCACAAGACCACGAGGTTTACGATGATACTTGTATTTTCCAGACAAGGAAAATAAATGTCACACAAGTGTGTGAGTGGAAGGGTACTTAGATGTACGAAACGTGTGTGAACAAGAATATATGAAAGTGTACAAAGCAAGAGTATATATGAAAATGGCTAATACACATGAACCAACAGACAGTCATCTTACCATGATTGGTTGTAATGTCATGTGACAACAAGGTCATACATTGTTTATTTAGTTAGTGGACAGACAAAAGCATGTTGTCAGTTATAATGAAATATCGATCCATATACACAGCAAAAAATATAATAGACTGTCAAAACCAAAACACACACACATCATGTGGGTACATATCAATTATCAACAGACAAAGGAGCTCCATTCTCCTCAAGTTTGCCGAAGCAATTTCTATCAAACGCTTGAAGCCAGATTTATGTGTTCAGAAAGAAGCAGTTATTAATCTTTCCTTGCCCACCCGGTAACTGGATGTCTTTATTCTCTCATCTGATTACGTAATCTCTGTCTTTAACCTCATCCCTTTTTAGAATCTGTAATTTTGCTTGTCTCTTGTTTCTATGATTTGAGTTGAACTCAGTGATTGTTACCTAATTTACTAGTCACTCTGCATCTAACGCACATCCCATCTTTATTACGTAACTCCTTTATTGTGTTCAAACTTGAACTGCCTGTGTAAAAACTATACAAGCGCAATTTTCTGAGCACTGTTTACTAATTGTGGAACTTTCTGTCGACTGACAACATGTAAAATTTACAAGTATGCTAAAACTTTTCTGTACTTAAACCTCATAATTTATTTAGGCTGTAAGCAGCTGAGCTGATGAGAAGCCAACGAAATAAATGATGGTACCATGTTATTCTGCACAAACCGCCACTGTTGTTCTTGCTTTATTCAAATTCATCAAGGGGAATAAATGCATGAAAAGCAGTATACTTTTGAATTTTCTGTAATGCAGAAGCCCTCACCATTATATGCATCGAGAAGCTGGAGTTATGCGTTTAAAACAAACCAATCCAACCTCTAAAACATTTATCATGGATCTAGTTTGGTTTCTTGTTGTTGTTGTTGCTTTTCCACTCCCCTCAATCTTTTTTACATCTTCAGTTAGTAAAAAAAAAACTATGATTTCAATTAGCTTCCATGCTCGTCCCGTTGTTCACACTCATCTCCGTTAAGTAAAAAAAAACTATTTCACACATTACGCAACCATTTTCTGATATCCATATAATTTCGTTTCTTAGCTTCTTGTAATGTGTATTCATTCACACCTACGAACTTATATATTAAGTTTAAAAATATCATTCTATCCAATGTCTTTTATTAGTATATGGAATTAGATAATAATTATATTTATCTTATGCATATAAATGTGATTTTACGGCTGTTAAGGTTGAAATGACCTAAATTAATAAAATACTACAATGTATAACACTTAAGAGATAGAAGAAAAAGTGACTGAATGACCCAGTTGTCAACAGAGAACATCGAACAGAAGTGCAGAAGTTCAAGTTGGCCCACACTCCAGGTAGTAAAACAACACATAGATAGGCAAAAGGGACACACAGACACACAGAGAGAGAGGAAAATTAGACTCGAACTGGTGCACTTCTGTGCAAAGTCCTATGTTGAAACAAGCTCTGTAGGTTAAAGGACAGTGTCAGTTGATCCAATCAAATAAAATAATATGATTTACAAAATACCTAGCAATGATGTGACTTGAGTCAATTACATAAGATGAGCAACATTGAGGTTAGGCGTCGAGTTCTAGGTAAACAGGGGAAATCAATCGACGAGGTTGTGAAGTTACAAAGACTGAGATGGTTAGGACATGTGTTACGTATGCATTGCTAGTCATCAACTTCCTCGACCGACGGCCAATGTTAGCTGACATAGGGTCAGGCTGGAAAACAGCTAGCGGCGGTCAAACAAAAACTTGGCATCAGTCAATGAAATCCACAACAGTTGGTCTAAGCCAGCCACGTAGGAAGGTGTAGACTTCCAGGCTGGGGTCCTCGGGACGGTAACAATCTATGGTTGGAAACAATTGGTAACATGGCTCAAAATCGTTCTCAGTGGCCAGCGCAGATGCATCCACTCCTTGCGACTTATCATCTCCTATGAAACTGTTTTGTTTTTCTTTATTACTCCTTTGTCTCACGCCTCTGCTCACTGTTTCTATTATGCTTTTCTTGTACTTTCTTCTCTTGCTTCGCGTGCTACACGGAGTGTGGCGACTTGAACTGTCGCACATTTGTGCAAAGTTCTATGTCGAAAACAGACAGACAGACATAAGTCAGTCAATCAAGTTGATCAGGCAGGAGTAGAGAGATTATCAGGACGTAAGAATCTAGCTAAGGTTAGAATGACTGATCCCACGAAGACAGATGAGTAATTTAGAAAAAAAAACAGCAATAGCGATGCATACATTAACAAACAAACTACACAATAGGGTGGAATAGAATCGAAATTCTAAAAAGAAATTTAGGTTGGGTGAAGAGAGATTTTGATTACTGCATCCTTTTTCATCGAATAATCTACATCCAACACATGCAATACAAGTGACTCAATGCAAATACCAGAGATATGGAAGATACTACCAGTCAGATCAAAGGATAATGTAAATAATGTCAATGTAATTCAGTTCACAATATAACATTCTAACAAGTTATCTATTTTACAACCCTCTCTCTTTGCCAATCTTATTACTGCCTTAGCGAGGTAAAGGAGTGTGTCTAATGTCTAATCAATTTTTACTCATGTATATAAATGACGCAAGAAAGTTATCTGACTACCTTAATATGATTATGAGCATTAATTTGTACTCGAAACGTCATCAGTAAATATTACTGTGAAAATTTTATCCATAAAAAAGTCAGTCAGTCATTCCTAAGACAACCACGGGAACCCAATTTCCAAGGAAGAAAGACAGACTATACAATGGGTGGATCACTTCAAAGGACTCTAGAACCGACCACCACCTGCACCCCGTCCAGAAATACCAACAACGGCACGCACACAACTGCAAGTTGACACCAATCCTCCAACGAAAGCTGAAGTCTTGAATGCAAGCAAGCTTCTGAAAGCTGGAAAAGCAGCTGGACCAGACGGAATACCCCTGAAGCACTTAAAGCGGACCTAGAGACTACTGCAGACATGCTGACTCCATTATTGCAAAAAATGGTCTGGAAGGGGAAAGGTGCCTACTGACTG